CCCTCCCCCAAGGTACAGGGCTAATATTTTTTCTGCGTGCCATGGTATGAATAAAGGTTGGGTACACTGGTCTGAGGAATGCTACCCAGGTGAGAAAGGTGAACATGATTGGGGCAAAGGACTCTCTGACTCTCAGGGTCCAGAACCTTCCTCTAATTTCCCCTACTAGTGCCTGGCACAGAGCTGGCTCAAAGTAGGCACGGGGGCCACTCCTGGTACCCAGGTGAGAAAGGTGAACATGATTGGGGCAAAGGACTCTCTGACTCTCAGGGTCCAGAATCTTCCTCTAATTTCCCCCACTAGTGCCTGGCACAGAGCTGGCTCAAAGTAGGCACGGGGGCCACTCCTGGTATCAAGGCTGCCACCTCGAGGCTCTGACAGAGCTGTGAGTGTGCTGGAGGCAGCTTTGTCTATCGGTGCCGTGGGGCATGCAGGAGGGGAGGGGCACTGCTGAGGCTGAGCTTTGCCATGCCCAGAGCTCTCCTGATGGCAGCACAGTGATGGGGTCTGCATGGGCCCTGCCTCAGCAGCTCCAGTGAGTGCTCTGGAGATAATGGTAGGCGTGGGGGCCTTGTTATGTGGCCTTAAGCTGCTGCATTCTGGGCCCAAAGTATCCTCTTCTCCTCCACGTTTGCATGGGGTCTTCCGTCGCTGGCACACAATACATGCTCTATGGCATTTGATTACATTGTATACCCCCCAATTCCAAAATGCATTAGAGGCTGAACAAATGTTGGTTGATGATGCCTTTGGTTGAAAAAGATTTACTACCTCTTTCCTATGTCCCCACTCTTGGCTGGGTGTCCCCAAAGATACAAAGAATGAGGTGAGGGTCTCAGGAAGGGGGAGAGCAGGGGACTGACTGTGGTGAGGACAAGCTAGTCCAGAACACAATGGAAGGAGAGAGACAGAGACAGACAGACAGACACAGAGAGAGACCAAGAGACAGAAAGACATAGACAGAGACCGAGAGAGAGAGAGAGAGAGAGAGAGAGAGAGAATGTGTTATGCAATTTGTGTATCCATTGTACATTCTCACTTCCAAATGCCTTCACGCTGCCGCCAGCCCAACCTTAGAGATGGGCTCCACTGGGTAGCCAAGAACTCGATTCTATTTTTAATGGCAACCCAGAAGCTAGCTGGGAAATGGCAGGATGAGGTGTCAGGAAGAGCTCTGTAGCAAGACAGAGGCTCAAATCTGGCCAAGTCTCCCCCTATCTGGGTGTCTCTGGGCAAGTCCCTGGACATCTCTGTGCCTCGTGGCCTCATCTGCAATGGGGGTGAAGGTAGTGCCCACCCAGGGCTGTCGTGAGCACGCCACGCAGTAACAGGCACAAGGCTCTGCATCACTTGGGTATTTTGACACTTGTCCAGTGGAGGGGCGGGTAAAGGGGGGAGACCCTGCTTTGGAGGGTCGAAAGAGGAGGGGTTAGGCCAGCTCTGGTGGAGCTGGGAGCCCGCAGCCCTGCCAGCCGGTGTGGACGCCTGGGGCACACAGAGGGCCGGGCTCTCCTGGCCCGGCAACATCTTGTATTGGAAACTACCAGGAAACCCAAACTGCTGCTTGCAAGTTGCCAACAAACCCTTCAGAGTTCGCCCTGCACCCGGAGCTTTATTAGCTGTCTGCTGCAGAATTTCTTCAGTTTCAGCTCAAAGGTTTGCTCTTTTCATTTCCTTTTTTCTTTCATTTTCGTTTGGATGTAATGCTTTGAGGTACTTTGCTAGAGAACAGGTGGAAATAATGCATTTTGCACACAAAAGCCAACATGAGGTACCCCCCCCCCACGTTTTCCCCCAAGGGAGTGGCCTGGGGTTAATGTGCTGTCCGGGTCTCAGCCCTGCCACTGGCTGGCAGGCAGAGGCATCATAGGAAGCGTCTTGGCTGCAAGCTGATGTACTTTTATGAGATAAGCTGGCAGTTCCCAACCAGGTTGAGGGACTCTCAGGATGACTCTAACCACAACAAGAAATCTTAAACCAGTTCTCCCAGCCTTGGTTCCCCCAAGGATGTTCTGGCCCTTGGATATGGCCTGGTTTGACCCTCAGAACCCCTGAGCTTTGGGGAATGACCGAAGCAGTCCAATTCTTTTCATGAAGTCCCCCAGATGGCTCTCTCTGCCAGCAGAGCCAGCTGCCCAGATCAGCTTGGGGTTCTCTTGATGAACACCGGAGTGCAAATGACTCGAGGCAGCTGGCAAGATGTTAAATGCAGCATCAATCCTAATTAGGATGAGGAATTAATAAAAGAGGCATTCCAGTCACTCTGGCAGCCAGGCTTGCTAACATGGAGGAGGTAGTTCCAATTTCCACTGGGAAACTAGAGGGCTCTGGGTCACCGCATGACTTCGGGTGGGGACGTGGCATGACCTATCATGCACACAGATGGCACCCAGTGGAGCTTGTGAGGTAGAACACCCAGGCTCTGCAGCCACTGCTCTGTATCAAGCTCAGGTGCTGTGGCAGGTAGTGACGTGGGAACATTCTCCAGATGAGAGGAGTAGGTGTTCGTGATCTGAGCAACTGCACACCAAAAATGATGTTTTTCAAAAGAAAAGAGGAGGGAGTGATTGTGGGACCCCCGCTCCCGCTCCTTTGAGTGGCAGTTTCCCGAACTATTGATTGCACATGTCTATTATCTGAAGACGTGGTCCGCTTAGCTCTGGCATTAAGCTCCAAATTTCGAAGGATAAAGCAGCCTAGTTTGGGGGTGGATGTGGGAGACAGAGGTGGGCAGGATTCCAGATGAGAACAAGCACGGTCCGGAGGGGAAAGGGGCAGGTTCGACTTCACCAAGCAGACCCAGTTTCACAAAGTCCCTCTCCAGACGACTTCAAATGCGGCCAGAAAAGGGCTGTCCTTTAAAGAGCTCCCTACCAGCCTCCCCCCCGGATCCAGCTCCGCGGAACTGTTTGCAGGGGCTGTGACCGCAGCCAGGAAGGCCAGGTGTGTGGGAGAACTTCCTCGGCTACCGAGGGGCGGGGTTCACACGCGGGGAAAGGTTACAGAAACAGAACGAGGAAACTCCGTCCAAGGATGCCTGAAGAATCAAAGGAACGTTCCACCCATTTCCCCCATCCGATCCTCAGTCTGAGAGCCAAGACCACGCGGCAGACCTATCCACAACCTGGGCGGGGCCAGACGGTCCCTCCACGGCCACCTGTTAGTTCAAGTACCGCGGCTGGGCAGGAGGGCGCCCGGGACGAGCTGAAACCCAGCACATTTCGGCTTTGGAAACGTCCGGGCTCCTCCCTGGCAGGGAGCCGTCCCCACAGTCAGGGGGACGCAAGCCCAGCCCCGCGAGGCATCCCAACCTCACCACACCTACTACTCGGCCTCAGGGCGCGCCTGGGGTCGCAGCGGCCCTCCCCGAAGGGGCAACCACGCCCCTCCCAGGCCGTTCCCCTCGAGCGACAGCAGCTAGCCCGGGCGCACGCCCATCTCCCACGGAGGTCTCCCGCAGCCGCCCTGCCCTGGGGCCGCGACCGAGACTCGGTGTCACCCCCACCACGGCCCCCCCC